GCCTGGGTGAGGCGGGAGGGAGTGTCAGACTCTTACTGACTAAAAACCATCCTGTTCCTTCTCCTGCACGTCGAGTCGGAGCCCCGGTTACCCGTTAGGTTCTCCGCGACTCCGAATCCGGTGGGTAGGTACTTCATTAGGGAAGAGAAATTTATATTTTTGGTTACAACACATTTTTAGCTAGTATAAGTTGATTCTATTCAACATTAGTCACATTTCATGTATTAAACATATCTACGTATAGTACTATTTTTTATTATGATTTATTAATGACCAAAACAAATTATTTCTATAACTTTCAGGATACTGTTATAGTATCTAAAAAAACTTTACCTATCTAGATAAAGTTTTCTATTTAGGTTTCCCCAGTCGATACAGGGACATCGACTAAACTATCGTCAGAAAGACTTCTTATGGAAACAAGTTTATCATTACCTACACATTTTATTAATTTTCTATTGGTTTTTATTACAAGGTTTTACCTAAAAAATATATACCACAACTACTCTAACCCATTTAGTTGTTATTTACTTGTAAAATACGTTTCTGTTCTTATACAATTTTCTTTACTTACGCCTGCGCACTAAAACTTTGCACCATATTGATGAAAGGAAATCAGTAGGCGAGGATCTGCGGAGAAGCTCATAATACTAGGGGTGTTTGAGAAAACCGGCAGCCATGGCCGGGAATATGGGAATGGAACAATTGATTCCAATTGTTAACAAATTACAAGATGCTTTCACCCAGCTGGGTGTTCATATGCAGCTGGATTTACCCCAAATAGCTGTTGTGGGTGGACAGTCTGCTGGCAAGAGCTCCGTGTTAGAAAACTTTGTGGGCAGGTAAGTGGCTAACTGCGTATAAATTAAACGTAGGTATTAAAATTTTATTCATTTGGTGAAACGAGAAGAAAATTCTACTTATTTGTATACTACAGAAAATATACTTTTAATGTGATCTTTAGTAACTAAGTTTATTTTGGTCTATATAAATAGAAATTTTCGTATTACGTAAGTTTGAGCTATGAAGTAAAACCACAAAAACAAAAGTACCTAAATTGAAAATACGAGCAAATTAATGCACATAGAGATCAAATAAATAATTGTTAGTAATACATAAATCAATCGATATGCTACGTTCCAGTTAAAAGTATTTACGTATCCAACATTCTGTTATAATTTAAATGAAAGCTTTTAAACATAAAAGCTTTCATCATTACATAAAGTAAGTATTTAAAAATCACACCAAAATATAATAGTAAAGTGACTTTAACAGGAACCTTATATTTACTGTTGGCAACCTAATATTTCCCACTTTATGCGTTTAATTATTCTTTACGGTTAATTTACACAATTGAAGTGTTTGTCTGTTTGATTTAGATTCAAACATTATTATCATCTTCTACGAAAATATTATGTCGACATATTTTTTTATCCTGGCCTAGATTTAGTGCGCATGTCGAGCAGTATTGATTTACTAATGCTTAAATGTCAATGGTTGCGTAGGGTAAATTTAAAAGAATATATCGATATAATTCATTAAGCGTTAAATATTTTATTATTTTAATAGGTATTGATAATTTAGAAATATATTCTCATTTTTTTAAGAATACAAGTCAAAAGAACTGCTTGCCTAGGATGCTAAACATTGAGGACTAACTTATAGCCATCTCATGTTTTAATAGTGGCATTCGTTGAACGAACAGAGATAGAGAATGTTTTGAAAGAAACTCCAATACGCTTTCGTAATTTTTGACAGTAGTTGAATCAAGCTGAATCGAAACGTAACGTAACCACCCACCACCATATTGAAAAATAAATTAGTTTATCGATGATGAATTGATGATGAGCAAGTGTTATTAGTGTTTTTGAGTGATAAAAGTTTAATGTATCATAGAAAAAATGGCTGGAAATTTCGGAATGCAGCAGCTAATCCCCATTGTAAACAAATTGCAAGATGCATTTGTGCAAATGGGCGTGCACATGTCTTTAGATCTTCCCCAAATTGCAGTTGTGGGTGGTCAGTCCGCAGGAAAGAGTTCGGTGTTAGAAAACTTTGTAGGCAGGTAAGATATCGAATCGTCGGAAATTGTGTTGTTCTATGTAATTAATTTTACAATACTGAAGATGTTGGAAGTATGTAACACCTTCTTTGTTTATTGTAAAGACAATCGACTTATGTGTCTAATGTATGGTTCGGTCAGCAGGGAATCTCACTTCCTTGGTGCATACATTTCGCCTCTTTGTAGTATATGAGTAAAGTAAGATTTCACTGTAATCAATTAATTATTTATTTAAGTAGTTGGTTGTGGTGACTCATACATAGGTAACCTTCCCAAACAACAATAATAAAACCTTTGTGAAATTAGAATTCTCTGTGTTTCTTTTATGAACTGTTTTTATATCTATAAAACTACTATTATTATCTTGGTTTGTAAACCTGTAAAATTACTTAAGTAAAAATTTAGAGATTATAATTTATTGACATTAGTTTTTTGTTTAGATGATTCAGTGATTATGGGATAAATTTCACTTAATTATGAAATTTTAAAATATTCAACTATAAATATATGTATAAAGACACAGTTAATCAACTAACAAACAAGTATTCCCAAGAAGAATTGGTATCAATGTTGAGTGCAGTGCAGCAGTCTTATACAAATTGGAAAGTAAAAGAGATTCAAGCTCCTAAGGATGTTCACTAACTTGAAAATTATATCTATAATGTAACAATTCTTAGTACAATTCTTTTGGCTACATAAATTAGAATCTCATTATATTTATGGAACACAGCATTTGGCTTGTATCATATCTTAAAGGAAAAGGAAAAAGATAAGAAAAATGCTTAAAATGAACTGTAGTCCATTAAAAATTACATGCTACAAACAATCAGCTGGTGTTTCTGATAAGAAGTTACAAAAAATCCTATCTATATAATATACAAAATTTGTTTCAGTTCTCAGTTGTCCTACATTTTTGTTAAGTCTGATAACTGACCTAATCAATATTGTTTTGCTTGTATCTATATAATCAGTTATTTGCCCGGAGCTGATATTGTGAATATGAACCTAATGGCCAATTTTACCAACCACTCCTAAGTCATCTCTTAATTAGTGTGACATAGCACCTAAACTAACCCATTACTTTTGCTGTTAGGTGTCACTTATAGTTTGGTGTAAACCAAAACATTGTTAAATACCACCTATTTTAGCGTAGGGGTTCCATAAATTTAAGAAAGTTTAGTGAGACTAGTACAATGACTGGTGTCAATATCTTGTCTGGTTGTAGATTTGGATTCTACAAAACAGAATTTTAAAAAATGTTGTGGCTTCATATTTAACTTCTAAATTAAATTAATCAAAATAACTTCTGAATACAGTTCATGAAGGTGCATTGTAAGAAATTCAGTGAATGTATAGATCACTATATTCAACTGATAAAAGCATGCAATGTCATTCATTCTATCTGCCACAGTAGCAAAACTTGGCTGTTTATGGGTTCAGTGGCTAAATAATGCAGTTGAAATGATTAAAAAATGTTGTATTAAACTTAAAATGTAGGAATTTGATACATTATATTAACATTGGTTCCGATAAAAGTATAATTCATAATCTGCAGACAAAAATGAAATCAAAAATGTCTTACATTTGATATGTAACACACATAGAAAAGAAAAATATAATATAAAACACAATAGAAAAGTATCAATGGTAAGTAAGTATTATGTAATTCAACAAATTATAAATTAAAATTAGATAGTATGTATTTGTAACAGTTAATTAGTTATATCCAATGTCCTTAAATCAAAATCCTCTAGTTATTGTGTTTCAACCTGACTTATCTAAACACAAAAATGCTATAATGGTTTTTATTCTTTGCAACATTAAAATTCAGATTCCATAAACAAGAATGGAAAGGAAAACAGAATCAGAAACAACAAAACAGATACAGTTAACCTATTTATATGTATTAATGATTATAAAATATTGTCTCCATTGTTTTTAATATCAATAATATTTGTGTTTGAAATACCTGAAAAGGTAAACTAAATTTATTAAATTACCATGTTGTGTCACAACACAGTTATAGAGGAAAAATAAACTCATGATTGTGTTCTACCAGTTTATGATATGATTCAAATGTTTGTATTAATTTATCATAATGTCATACTCAACAGATTATAACACAACAAATTCATTTTCTCAGTCAGTATTGATCTCTAATGTCTAAAATGAACTATGAATTGGGCCCAACGGGGCTAATGTCGATACGAGGATTTAACAAGTTGCTGGGCCCCTGGCTCGAAGTGCCGGGTGGTTTTTAGTCAGTAAGACCTTGACACTCCCTCCCGCCTCAAGGCGGGAGAAGTCATTCGATGATTACCCCCTTAAAAAAAATAAATCTCTAAAATGAAATGTTTAGTAATCCTATCTTATTACTTTTTCCATAATCTGAATTCATTGTTTTATGTAGAAGCGCTATGATAATTTTAGTTTAAAATAAATTAAATGTGAATTTATTTAATTATTCCAGAATATTCTTAAATATATTAATATTTACACTTATCTTTATTGATTTAAACATTTTCTTTATTTTATTTATTTTTGACTTTTATTTATTTGTTAGGTATTTGAGACAAGTTTCTTCACAAATAAAAAATATACTTGTATGGAAACCTGTAAGTAAAGTAAGCAAATATTTGCTGTATATGATTTGCTATGTTAAAAATGTTTAGATTGAAATATTTCCTAATACATAGTTATCCTAGAAAATATAAGTAAACAAATCAAACATTGCATGGAACAAAATCTTAAATAGTTATTTTAGGAACTATTGTCCCTGGTCAGGTGTTTTGTTTAGAAAATTACTGTTATTATTTCATCTCTATGAGTCATTTATCACGGCAACTATGATCATATCTGGGTAAATTACGATGACATCAACTTCTTCATGTTTAATTTTCGATGTGAATTGTCTTCGGTTTTTTGGTTCTTAGAAACTACTTTGAAGCAGGAATTACTTTGAATGGTTAAAATACTATTGTTAGTTCCTATCAAACCAGTATTTTAGAGAAATAATTATCTTATTGTTGTTGTATTTGTTTCTATGGTTAATAGCCAGAAGAAGTCCACTTTTTTACAAAATTATTCTTGTTTCAGGGACTTTCTTCCTCGAGGCTCCGGAATAGTAACGCGGCGTCCATTGATCCTTCAGCTAATACATGGAAACACAGGTACTATATTTTTTTAGAACAATAAGTAACAATGTTTCTTCTTAGAGGAGTAATAACATTCACTACGTTATTTTATACTCAGCTAACAGGCTGTGATGTAGTTCATTATTGTGCAAAATGTGATCATTAACCTTCAGGCGTATTCAGAATGTTAAAACAACTAATTGGCTTACTAATAAACTCTATTACTGTTACGAGTTTGTCAAAATTCACAATGTAAATGTGTTAAGATGGCTCGTTGTATAGAACAATAAATTGCCGGTTTTGGTCAATGTAATGCTGTGATAGGCTCTGATATTTTTTCCCGGTCACGTATAGGTCACTAGCCTTCCGTTCCGCATGATCGGGACCTTACATTTCGTGGCATTCGTACTTAATGAATGATGACTTTTAGCCGTTATAAAAATAGATCACCGTTTCTATAAAAAAATGTTCTTAATGTTTTAATAGAGACTACATAGTATTCTGGACTTTGGAATGTATTCATTAAATGAAGCAGATGGTTAGTGATCACATGGTAGGTAGCCATCTGTCTTGACATGTACCAGATTTCATCCGATATTTTGCACGCTAAGAAGCCGTACATTTTTTGTATATAATAACTACTGTAAAGCGTGAGCGTATTTATGTATCCATAAGTTTACATATCCAATAGATTTATGAGTAAATAATTTACCCTGTGTTTTCTCATTTATCTCCCTAGAATATGCGGAGTTCTTGCATTGCAAAGGAAAGAAGTTTGTTGATTTCAATGAAGTACGTGCAGAGATTGAGGCAGAGACAGACCGTATCACTGGCTCTAACAAGGGCATATCACCAGTTCCTATTAATCTGCGTGTTTATTCCCCAAATGGTAAGTTGTATACTTGTATCCACATTTGTGGTATGTTAGCTTTTTTAATACATTTTAGGCCCGTCATGTACCGAGTGTGTTTGCTGCAATCTTTATCCTCTTTCTGGGAGATTAAAGCCGTGAGCGACAAGAGCATTAACTTGACCATATATTAAGTAATCTGAGACCATAAACCTCCATAATTATGTGTTCTACATATCAGGAGACGCACTCAAATTAAAATAGGTTGGAACCGGAAGCATCTTGACACGCATGCGTAACGTTATAGATTGTCAATTTTATGAAGTCATTGGCCGACGAATATGTGACACTTCGATAGCATATCTAGCAACAACGACAAAGCAGAGTATTGCCGCTTAAAATTCATGAATTTTGTGGGTATTGTATTAGGTATTTACTGAATGGAGTACACTTACGTCAGAGTACTGAAACGCTACACAATATTAAGCCTAATGTCGGCTCTGTCCTCAAGATCAAGATGTATTGTGGCGGCAGAAATTCTTGAAAGAACATCTTAAAGTCGAGTGGAGTATTGAAGCGTCATGAGATCAATAAAGCAAGGCCACGATGCTCACCTTTGACAGAGCTGAATAAGATCCCACTTAACAAAATGGGTATCTAATAGTACATTGGTTGTTGTGTGGCGCAGTTAAAAAGAGATAACTATTTTTATTACGATAAAACTCGTTTTAACGAAAATACTACAATTATTTTCAATTCATTGAAGCTTTGTTTCATACAAATTGTTCTACGTAGATTTCTATCTTATTCGTACAATCGACGGGTCTTTGTTTGACCAATTTATCATGTGTCACAGATATAAAAGATTCCCTAAGAATATATTGATAAAACTGTTCATCGATAGTGAATGTTATCAGTTTTTTCATCGCATATAAATGTACCACGTGAACCTGTTGTATGACAAAGATTTCTCTTGGTCATAAATAAATGAGTCAGTGTTAATCGCGCTCTAGATAAGACAATGGCCGCTTAATTGATAATGTTATATGACACACCCTTATCAATATGGAATTATGTTTTAATGTTCACTGGCTAAACTATAACTGAACGTTCATTCATAAGTTCACCCATGAATATTTCATTAAATATAATACTAGACCAATATATATTTCTTCCACTTCATATATGAAGAGAAAAAAAAAACGCCGAAGTAATGTTTTGCAATACACCTAGTAGTGATGCGTGTGCAGTCATCTTAATTATGCAATCTCTATTAAAACATTGCTCACTTGTTATTCCATACATAGTTTGATAATGACCTACATAACTAATGCTTCTTTAATGTCCAGTTGTTCTTCACCAATATAAACTCTACAATGGAATAATGTAAACATATGTGTAGACTGGAATTTGGTAGCTATTTACATTTACATACTGTACCAAAACAGTGCAAAGGATATTTTCAAATGAATGTTATGGTTACTAAATCAGTATGACGTTGTAAGTATAATGTATATGTTTTGTGACGAATCTTAAAAATAGTGTTTAACTGGTGAAATGTATAAAAAAATGTTTTATTTTTAAAGTCCTAATGTACTTATTTTAAACAGTGCAGCAATATACCCAAGCCTGTGACTTCCTTCTGCAATATACTCTTGCCTATAAACCTACAAAACACGAGTAATAATTACAGTAGCAACATAATATAGCAGTGATAATGATATTATACACACATACGTACCTATTGTGTGGCGAGAATTTAATCTAAAATGCATGAAGATTTATTTATTTATTTATGCACCTACACACATTTAGCACACAGAACAACACATTTATAGAACTAAAGTCATTGGAATATGTTTAAGTAAAATTGAAGTACATAGGAGGCACGAGTTATACCTAGTACACCATTAAATTTAAAGTATATACATGCGTGCATACAATATGCACTTGTAAATGTAAACATAATTATGCTACTTAGAGACTAGACTTAGAGCCTAATTTCATTTTTCATTAGGTCCACCTGGTGTCTTAGTTGCCCAACCATTTCATTGTCGATGACCAAATTGACGCTCGTGATTGTTCTGGTGACTCTTCATAAAGGTACGAGCAGTCGCGCAACCATAGAGAGACTATGGTTACAATAAGGACCAATGAAATGGGGCCTTTATGAAGAGCCGCATTATGTTTGTTGACCAAGTGCCTGTCATTACCCTTGGTTGACATGATGATTGTCAAGTTTGCCAAGAAGTCATCAAAGAATACACAGCATAAATCTTTCCTTATCTATCCTTATCATGCAATACAATATTATCTATTTAACTGATCGTTACAGCTCTCATGAAATGTTTGTTTTACTCTCTACTTACATGCTAAATGCGTTATAAAATTTGATGTTACGAAATGTTATGGCCCGAAGAATACAAAAGTTAAATCTACTATAATATTTATGTTGCCAATATTTTCATTCAAGGGTTCATGACTTTTTATCAAAGTCAATAAGCTGCAAATTTTATTATTATCTGTGTATTATTATTAAAAACATTTGATTTTGTTGTTAAACAGCAATGCTTATTATTACGCGATAACAATGACCTTGTGTTATTCATTAATAACAACATTTCGCGCCTCCTAACGTATGCAACTTACTCACTATTTATTTAAGAATCAGCAAGAAACAATATTTTGGTACGGACAGCGGGTTTATAGGTCAATTTACGCTGAATAACTATCTATGTCATACTTTCTGTCAGTGAACTTTAATGTGGTTTATGATATTTTATTGTAGGGACATTCATAATACATGTTTGCGGTTTTCCACATGCACAATTTCAGGATAAAGCATAGCTAAAAAGAGAATGTAGTCATTGAAAACGTGTGTAATTTTATTTCCAGTGCTCAACTTGACCCTGATTGATTTGCCGGGTCTGACTAAGGTGCCCATTGGTGACCAGCCGGTAGACATCGAACAACAAATCAAGGGAATGATCTTCCAGTTCATCAGACGGGAGTCCTGCCTCATCCTCGCCGTCACCCCCGCTAACACAGATTTGGCCAACAGCGATGCCTTGAAACTTGCAAAAGAAGTCGACCCTCAAGGCTAGTTCACTTACATTCATACTAAAATTGCAATCATAATTATGAGTCATTGTTTAGTAAACTTAAAACACCTAATACAGCTGAATAAGTTTGACGAATATGACGATGATTGACTTCTACGTAATGATGTCTGCAAGTCGTACAAATACATACAATATATGTAGGAGTTATAGGTAGCTTACTCGGTTATTTTGTCGGTGACTCATGTGCATTAGCTGAATAAGTACCTACAATTTAAAACGAACAAAATTATGAAACCCCTGCAGTTTGTCTGTGAAGTTCGTTCAACTTTTCATTGTAATATGCTTTTTATAACAGCAGCGGAGTACAATTTTCGGTACCTACTAACTCGCTAAATCCGGAGTCTCTAAATTTGAAGAACGCAAATATTTACGCTAAAAATATTTCGGTCTAACTGCAGGTCTTCGTACGATCGGTGTGATTACGAAGTTAGATTTGATGGATGAAGGCACGGATGCGCGAGATGTGCTCGAGAATAAGCTGCTACCTCTCCGACGCGGTTACATTGGTGTCGTCAACCGATCACAGAAGGACATTGATGGCCGCAAAGACATCACCGCTGCCTTGGCAGCCGAGAGGAAGTTCTTCCTTAGGTATGTATTTGACGCTAAAAACCAATTTTGAGACAGCAACCCAACGAGGAACTTTATAATTGGTTGTGAGTGATCAAAAATCCGCTCGTTCTACATTTATTTTAATAGTAATTTTAAGATAATTTAATAATAGGCCGAAAACCACAGTTGTCAATTAAGTAGAAATCACATTGTTATCATTATTACCTAGGAACTGGCTGTAATGACTCATATTTTCCTCAATGACGTACGGGTAATGAATACATCGAATTCGAGTGTAAACAACGACGTTGGGCTAACCAAGTGGTACTTGTATACTGTATGAGGAGTTGCAACATAGGTATATCTGACATAGACATATAGGTCGCTCTCGACTATCGGGCTGACCTACTTTCGTACGTCGATTGCATTTGTAATTTGCGAGAGAAGATAACCACTTATTTTATCGGCTTAGTAAATTAGTCTCTAAAAACATTTTTAATATTATTGTGTTACGTTATGCTATGATGCATTGCATTGTATGACTAACAGAAATACATTATCAAACAAATGATCGATAATAATAAGGCCGATGAAGGATGTACCCAAAATAATTGTTATGTAAACAATGATAAACTAAAGCGCTTAGCTGAGTCGCTTAGTGATAAAGACAATGTCTGAGTATAATATTTTTTTTATCCTTTACTCCTTTCCTCCTTGAACGAACGAATTAAAAATTATACATTTTAAATTAACTCGTCGAGTACCGGTTTTGTAGACACAATTATAGAACAATAGGTTGCGGTCACCGGTGACCACTTGGTGTTTGACAGTTTAATATCTAGCTGAGAGGATTTATCAATAGGATACAATGGAGGACTTAAGGAGTACTCTTACCTAACTGGCGTATGATGACATCCATGAATGTGATTTAATCTAGAAAATTTAATGAGGAACGTAGTAGGGGTTCTTTGTAGTTTTTGTCTTCACCCATGGGACCAAGTAAATAATGGTAAATTTAATTTTTTTACAGCCACCCATCATACCGACATTTGGCGGACCGACTTGGTACCCCTTATCTGCAGCGTGTACTCAACCAGCAACTGACCAATCACATCAGGGATACTCTCCCCGGCCTCCGAGACAAGCTGCAGAAGCAACTGCTCACACTGGAGAAAGATGTCGACCAGTACAAACACTTCAGACCTGATGATCCTTCCATCAAGACTAAGGCTATGTTGCAGTGAGTAAAGTTAATGAATCTTATAATAGTAGTCATAAGAACGAGATTTCTATAAAAGGAACAGGGGTTTTTAGTTAAATTAGGGATCCAAAGAGCTGTATAATGTTACGCATTTTAATTTCAGAATGATCCAGCAGTTGCAAACAGACTTTGAACGCACAATAGAAGGTTCTGGCTCTGCACAGATCAACACAAACGAACTATCGGGTGGTGCTAAAATCAATCGGTTGTTCCACGAACGATTCCCATTCGAGATTGTCAAAATGGAATTCGACGAGAAGGAACTGCGTAGGGAGATCGCCTTCGCTATTAGGAATATTCACGGTATTAGGGTAAGTGCCATCCATTTAGTGTTGAAAAATGTTAACATAGCGGCAGTCTAGACTGCCACTGACATGAGATACAATAAAAATATATTGTGTCCTGATTCGATATTCTTGGCAAACCAAAAGTTAATAATGTCTTACCTGGCAAAAAGTAAATTGTGGATATTTAGTAATGACTGTGATGTGTGTCCACAGGTGGGCTTGTTCACTCCCGACATGGCGTTCGAAGCTATTGTAAAGAAACAAATCGCACGACTCAAGGAACCCAGTTTAAAATGCGTCGATCTCGTTGTGGCTGAACTGTCTAATGTTGTTCGCATTTGCACTGAAAGGGTAAGTAATACATTTTGTGCCTTAAGGCTTTTACTGTCGACAGAAAACTGTTGAATATTTAACGTGTTAAATATAATATTTTCGGTATTTTTTTTTGTCTTCTTAATTATATAGAACACCTTACATATTTTTCTAGCTTCGATCACATCATGCATGTGGTCATGTAACTTTTAGTTGAATATTTTTTACTAACTAATTTCTTAACTTTCCAGATGTCCCGATACCCGAGGTTGCGTGAGGAGACGGAGCGCATTATAATGTCTTACGTTCGTTCTCGCGAACAAATGTGCAAGGACCAACTGGTGCTGCTTATCGACTGCGAGCTCGCCTACATGAACACCAACCACGAGGACTTCATTGGATTTGCCAAGTAACCTATATATTGATACTGTATAATATTTACATGCATGACAAAATTTTTGCGTCTGTTTGTAATTAAACAAAGGTAAATGGTCTGAAACTTTGAGAAATGTTAAATACATTTATATCCTATATGAACTACGTAAATGTACCCAGGATAAAAATATTCCTTTCGTATGTTCAAATTGCAATTGAACTGAATAAATATCACATAAAGGAATTATAATGGACATTAATGTTACAGTGCTCAAAATCAGTCTGAGAATTCAACAAAGTCAGGACATCGCGCGTTAGGAAACCAAGTCATCAGGAAAGGATACATGTGCATCCACAATTTGGGTATAATGAAAGGTAAGAAGGTTTTAAATCCTCAGCACTTATAATTTCTTTAGGCCAATCTTTGTTTTACTACCTTCTTAGGTATTTCTTAAAACAAAGTTGTAATGGTTCATGGTCGTTTCTTCAGGTGGTTCCAAAGATTACTGGTTCGTGCTGACCGCTGAGAGCATCTCCTGGTTCAAAGACGAAGAGGAGCGAGAGAAGAAGTATATGCTACCTCTGGATGGTCTGAAACTGAGGGATCTGGAACAGGGCTTCATGTCGCGTCGACACATGTTCGCACTCTTCAACCCTGAGGGCAGGAACGTCTACAAGGTATGGTAATAATAAAAATCGTTTTTTTTCTAAAGTAGTATTATAGTATGTAGTTTGTACTCTTTGGTCATGACAGAACGACATACTAATACTCTTTTGTCGTCCTATTTCCAGGATTACAAACAACTCGAGTTGTCATGTGAGACACAAGATGATGTCGACTCATGGAAGGCATCGTTCCTCCGCGCCGGAGTCTACCCAGAGAAGACCTCTGAAGCAGCCAATGGAGACGAGGTAACCTCACCTTTAATTTACAATATTATTATTGCCTGTCTTATTCCAATCTTTCTTTTCCCCTTTATATCTGCCCCACCTTTAAACTATTGCAGACATAACTTATCTTTACTTTGTGCTTATTTCCTTAATATATGGCTTTATAATATCAATGGTGTTTATTAAAATGTGAATTTAACTATATATTTCAATATATAATATTCCGATTTTATGTTATAAAATCTGTTGTTTTGCCATGCTATTCAGAGTGAAGGAACCGAGGTTTGTTTATACAGGCTTACGAAACATTACACAAGTACATAGATCACACTGACACGGTGGTCGCACATTAACACTTCCCCCGATGTGGATCAAGAATAACTAACTGAAGTAATATGTTGTAGTAACCATTGTTCTTAATGGTGGTTGTTAATATTTTCTTGAAATACATTGCAGCCGATAGCATGAGACGTGTAGAGTGCTGTTTTGTCTTTTGGTAGTGTCACATGCACTTCATCATCATGAGTTGCGCCACCCACTCTAACAAACTGTATGTAATGACATGACAACAAAGCGCCACATCTGTTTATACCAGTAGGAGTAACACCTGAATGTCGTGCTTCGTTTGTTTGAGCATATTTGCAAGTATAAGAACAGTTTCACTCTCGTTATGTAAATATTCAAGATATGTATTGTGGAAGTTTATTTCAATTTTGTTTTAGCATGTTTATGTTTTTTATTTTTTTAGTTTTTTCCGCCTTCCAGTGGTATGGGTGGAAAAAATAAAAGAGTAAGTGACTCGTATTTTAAAGCTTGTTTGCTGGATTTTTGAACTGTTTATAAGGGTGATGTGCGATTTTAGGCGGTAGAGCAATTTGTATCATAAACAATTGTTGCATGTGCAATTAATAACTTACAAATGATGCTCAAAGTATTAATTGCAAAGTGAATCTAAGGGATCGCCTTGGTATTGGTCATTTGGTTGTGAATGTTATTCCTAGCACCAATGTCATTGGTTCGTGAAATATTGTGGGCGGGGCGTTGCTGGGTGAGTACCGTAGTGTGAAACACTTCATCAAATTTAAGCAAAATGTCGGTTGATTTTCGTAGCTGTTAATATTGTCCTTAGATAGTCTTGTTTATTTTTAACTACCAATACTAACACTGCTCATAGTTATAGGTAAAGCATGCCATTACAAAATATGCTTTATATCAACTATACAAACAGTGCATTATCGATTACTAATGAAGTAAGAAGATTAGGCATGCCTTGTTAAATTCGTTATTTTAAATATGATCAGGTGATCAGTAAGTAGTAAGAAATTACCGTTGAAGTAAGTTTTATTTCTAGTATACTCATATCATCAGTTTTATACTCCAGGAACACTAAATTTTTATAACACTTTATTTCTATTATAGTGGTACAATGTAAAAAGGTATTATTTTGCATAAAAAATAAAATTCCTGCAAGCAAGTTCTTTTCAAGAATTCCTTTCGTGTTACCTTTTTGCATGCTTTTTGAAGTTTAATTCGATACTAATTACAGACTGTTTTGGAGTGCTACGATTTCCTTAACATACTCGACTACTCGTATTGATTGGCAAAGCCGTACTACGTCTCGTCTCATGTGTCTTCCTCGGTCTCGTTTCAATCATCTGCGATAATCACGAACCTTGCTACAATAATAACCGATATATTTATCTATCTTTATTCGTAGCTATTTACTGTTTTGTAAGCTACCAAGCTTGGAGTTTGATGCGGTAGAAACAATGTAAAATGCTGTAGATTTTTCTTACTGTACTAAAGACTGTTATGTGGAGGGAATTGGGCTTCAGAAAGTAAAAAAAAAAATTGTTGGCAAATATGTTTTTTCGTCGTTTGAATTTTTTTTGGCTGGAAATTATCAAACATGGGATTTGGCAACATTTTATCACGATTTTGACGGTGATCGCCGTTGTGTTGTCCGTTTGGCGCTCCACGATGATAACGTAAGAGTTAAATTGAACATTATTGTTACATGAAGAACGTTCTGTTTGCAGAGTTCGGACAGCTCAGGCACAAGTAGCATGGACCCTCAGCTGGAGCGACAGGTGGAGACCATCAGGAACTTGGTCGACTCTTACATGCGCATCGTGACGAAGACGACACGAGATCTCGTACCCAAGACCATCATGATGATGATCATCAATAATGCCAAAGACTTCATTAACGGAGAGCTGCTTGCACATCTATATGCTTCTGGCGATCAAGTAAGAGTTTGATTTTAATCAGTAATTAACTTTCTGTTTACTAAATCGGAATTTTTAACAATTGCTTTTTATTCACAGTCACAAATGATGGAAGAGTCTCCAGAAGAAGCTCTCAAACGCGAAGAGATGTTGCGCATGTACCACGCTTGCAAAGAAGCCTTGCGGATCATTGGTGACGTTTCTATGGCAACAGTGAGCACGCCTGTTCCTCCACCTGTAAAGAACGATTGGCTGGAGAGTCGCCTGGACTCCAACCCGCGACTGTCGCCACCCTCCCCTGGCGGACCACGCAGAGCTGCGCCTGCGCAGCAAGGTCAGTACATTAGTAAAATATGCCAGTTTTGTGAGAGTTGAAAGAATTTTGGTATTTTGATTAGCAATTAGCTTTGAATGGAGATATTAAGAAATCCTATCGGTATCTAAAGAGTTACAGTCATTATCTTGCCAGAATTTACTTTTAAACATTACTAGCAACCCGCCCCGGCTTCGCACGGGTGCAACATGCATGTATTATACATATAAACATTCCTAAAAAAAACACATCAAAATCCGTTGCGTAGTTTTAAAGATCTAAGCATACATAGGGACAGTGAGACGGTGAATAGCGACTTTGTTTTATACTATGTAGTGATAATGATATACTCATTGTACACATTATAGTTGACCTAATGTTGTTACGAGGCCTAAAGGGATTGTTTTGTGTATCAAATGACGTGTCTCCTTTCCTCGTTCAACAGATTAAAGGCAGATCAAGTACTTTTATGATGTTTGATCAAAGATTCATAAAGGATTTTAAGGCCATATTAACACATTATAGTGATTTCAGTTTCGGCAGTGTATAGACTGCTTATTTGCTTATTGAAAGACAAACACGTCTAGTAAAGGTGGTGGTGATATTCCAGGGTCGCTAGGCGGCCGTGGCGCGCCGCCTCCCCCTGGCGGTGGTTCAGGCCGGCCCGCGCCCCCGCTGCCGTCGCGTCCAGGTGGCGGGGCCCCGCCGCCGCCCTCCGTGCGCCCCGCGCCCGGACAGCCTGGCCTTCCAGCGCCACTTGTGCCCACGTAAGTACACTTATGAAAATAATACCCATTGATTAATGTTCTGGGTGGTCTCCGATTGTACTTAGCATTGGTGTAGTATGGGGAATTGATAAAAATACTAAATTTTCTTTAAAATACCTTTTCAAAGGGCATTGATTAAAATTGGTGCCTTTCTTTTTTCTGGCGGCAGTCGATGATTTATGGAAAATATTATCTAGAATGACATTACAAACGAAATTGTCTATGGGCTTATATATGGAAATCTCAGTCTGGACTGAGTTATGAGCGTTGAAAGGAGCTGTAGTCAAAACATTTTACTTATAGTTTTGTCACAATTTCTAACTTCAAATTGCGCGCTACTGTACTCCGGGCACAGGAAAACCATATCACACCACAATATATTCATATTGCCAGGCACTAATTTTTATTACCTATTTTCTCTCAGTCGATAACTTGTGGGATGCTTCTAGGAGTTGTGTCATGAAGCTTCATGAGCGTCAGCTGTGGTACCAGTGGTGGGTTGAGTAGTGGTAGCCGTCCAAACATCTAATAAAGTATATTTTTTTTTCCATTGACTCCTGGTGGGACACTCATCTACTTAATAGTTAGCATAATCTTTTGAAGAAAGAAAACCGTCGACTTTTAAAGTGATCAGCGCTATTCAATCCGCTACCGACGCCGCAGCTGACAAACATAGCATTTCATGATAGGGCTCAGTAAAGTATTTTGCGGGTTTTTGACTGAGAGGAAATTGATCATGAAAATCTGTCATAGGCCATAAACCGTTTACTTATAAATTGAACACGATAGCCAATCAAGCGAAATGTTTCTTTTTCTTCACCTGTGGTCAGTTAATGATTCACTCTGTTCTGTTTCAGTGGCCTTATAACAAAAAAAAAAAACAAAAAAAAAAGTAAAAAACTCCACAATAAGCTTTATTATATTCCTTGAAATCGTTTATAAACATTTATTACAAAATATTTCTGACAAGTAAATGAAGAAATATGCGTTGTGTACGGTCACCATCAACAAAATCACAGGGATAATATAGCACTATTTTCATATCTTTGAACTGATTTAACTCGATTTGGACTGTGTTTTTGATATAAGACCCCATATATTTTTTTGTTTGTAATGTTATTCTGCATCAGTTTTTCCACATCCGATCAACTGCCGCGAAAAAATTAAAAGGCACCACGCTCCATACAAATTTGGTCATTGTCATTTGTTGGTCGAGTTGATACGGAGACTATCCATCCTCACTGTCTGTTGTGCATTTGTTTTTAGAGCTCGGTACAGTACATGGTCTGGGGTTACGTAGGTCGCCATATTTGTTTGGAGTTATAGAGCACTCACCATGGACGTGATGATTCTCTATTTTGAAGTAATTTGTATCAGTATGAAGTATTTTTATATGATAGTGGCGCTTCCCGTCGCCGCTGCACTGTCGATGTGTGAGCTTTGCTTCAAGTACTGTAGGAGGCATTTGTGTGGGTGATGTAACAGCCATAATTTGCAGTAAACGTATTGAGCTTTATAATATATACTGATATATAGTATATTTTATATATATTAACATAATTACTTAGTCTATTTATAAATTGTGCACGTTACAGTAAGATCATAAAGAGGGAACTAATGATCTGGGTAAAGTAGATCTAACCAGCCGGGTTGTGTCCATTAACTCGTGTGGGGGTGTAGTACTAATCCAAATGACCGGAGAGGCTGAGTTGTGTGTATGTGTTCGCAGGCGGCGCTAAGCGGCCCGGCGCGTGCGCACTAACTCACTAACATAAGTTACGTATCGACGTAAGGCACTAACTACGAACTTGTTAACTTATTACACGTTGACATCTGTGTAACTGCCCCAGTTTACCGTAACGTTACCTTATTATTGTTCAACACTGAACATACCGATACTGATTTCTTATCTCTAAGATCCATTTCTTGTTTTTCGTCTAAGAACCTTGGATCAGTGACGAGATTGTAGTAAGTTAACAAATATCGACAAATTTATAAATAAATTATACATATGTTATATACAATATTATTATTAGCCATGTAAATGATCAATACTTATGATACGTATGAAAAAAATGTTGCTTCCATAAAATATTAAAATAATAGCGGAATTTATTACCTTTTGGTAGAATACAAATTAAAGATAAATTATATTCTGTTTATGAATCCTCTGCGGGCAGCCTTTCGTTAAACGAACCTTTTTAATATACGTTAAACGTTTTATTTAGATGTCTATTTTTGTTCCATAATTTGTAATAAACTTTCTGAATGTTATATTTTTGATGAAACTGGTTGTGTACTCATCGAACAGTGCAGGCTGCCTGCAGACCGATGCATATTCTACGTAAACAGTATCCGTTATACTATTATGATAATAAATGTCTATGCAAGAGTTACCTTCAATAATATTCGTGTGACTATAATAAGAACAAGTTGAAGGAGAGGCTAACAATGATTTTATTTGGATTTTTTGGTTTGGTTAACAAAACATGTTTTATTACAATCGGTTTAGATTCATTTTTGTAATGTGTTAACAATATCGAAGCACCGCATGCTTTTTGGCACTAATTTGTGTGATCCTCGTGATTATTAATCGTTCATATTGTTCTTCTTTGTATCTACTTCTTTATGGGAACTCAAAGTTAAGTATCACTATATCCGTGCTCTGTAGTGTGAATAAAAAATATGTCTATTGTGAAATGTAAATGTAGCAATTTTTTGTAAAATACTCTCGACAAAGTGTAATATTGTGTAGTTGATTAGTGATGTATGTTACTGATTCATTCACAGTTACCCTGTAAGAGTTGTATGTCAGATTAATTTAATATTTTTTATTGCATTGCATTATTATGGCGGTTACGTTACTCCGAAATGTCTTACAGAGAAGCTGTGACAGCTTTAGAGCAACTTGATATTATTGTTACTTAGGACTTTCTGTCTCTTTCGTCCTTATGTTTAATGTTCCATATTTGACTGTTGCTGTACCCTTCTACTAAACATATTCATGGATGCACAAAGGATTCTTTACATCAATCTATCCCCATCACATTTGCTTTGTGTTTGTTTTAATCATTTTTGACAAGGAACTATTCGTAATGAAATATATAGGAGGCCTGGAGGTGGACTACCAGCGGGTTCAGTAGCCGGCGTGATGAACCAGATGCCGCCTCATATGCGTCAACAGGTCAACCAGGCGGTCGGCCAGGCCGTCACCAACGCCGCCATCAACGAACTTAGCTCCGCCTTCGCCAGATTCAAGTAAACACGACAATGTTGTCCTACGTCTCTATGTTATGTACGCAAACTTTGTAGGAAACGTCGTCACTTCGACCAGCCGCTGTCTCCGATCACCTGACAACACATATCAGTGTAGACATTCCTTCTATACATGTAAAGTCTCACGGACATATCAATGTTACTCCCACTGCCCTACATACATCACATGGATAGTAATCTATCACGTGATTTACTCATTAATGATCTTATGACTCACGATGTGTGACCTTTTTGTTTTAGGATTAAGTATACGAAATGCGAATTTATCCGAAGTGACCACGTTTGTTACAAGTGACGTCTGTCCATCAGTAACTTTTCTCCTTGATGTAATGGAAAACTTCTGTAAATTAATGAATACGCATCAAAATGTTTGTTTTAAAACATCGCTTATACACATTTTTAATATGTATATCGAAATGTATGTTATAGTTACTGTTTACGAGTTATTGTCGAAACTATAAGCGATGTTTTATCATGTAAAGTTTTCTATTGCTTATAATGTTTTACGTGTTAACTTGTCCAAGCATTTTCAGAGCACATTGTTTAACTGCTTGACCGTTTAGTGTGAACTAAACCTCTTGTACATGGGTATAGACTGCAGTGTTGTGTTACATTGCTTCTCGTCCGACTGTCTGTATGTATTCCAATGTGCCTGTGTAACACGTGCGCTGCACACCGACTCCGCTTGTGATACATAACCAACGTTACCGTAGGGTTTATAATTGTATGTACTTTAATAATTTATTAATATATTAAACTCTTATTGATCACAAACATTATTTTTGCTCAAAATCACGGAGATCACACAATTTATAATAATAATAATAATGATGATGAATTAAAAATAATGTTGAAATACTCTTCTAGCAATTGATATTATGTTACCAATATCGTGGCATAGATTCTGATATTCTGTGTACATTCCAGTGATTATATTTCGGTACAAGTGAGATTATGTTTGCAAGTTTTGCAATGGCAACTAACAGGTATAACCTAACTAATGTAATATGCAATCATTGACCACTTGCAGACTAATCTACGCTTACAAACATGTTGCTTTATGTAATGGAATTTAGGTTATAATTATTTAATTAGGGTTGTTACCCAAAGATATTAACAACAATAAAATTTTGTATAGCGTCGAAATTTTATAATGACTAAATTGTTCAGTATTAACTGTGAAGGAAGTATTGTCTCACAGCGCTTGATTATGTAACAATGCAAACGTACATAGGAGCGCGAAACGCCGCGCGCCGCGCATTGCGCATTACTTTAATTATACTTACTTATGATGTAATTAACTTTATGTTACGATTAATTGTAAATGTTACATTCAGTGGCTTAATATAGGTGTATATTGGGATTACGTAGTTGAGTTGTTTCGCGGAGGGCATTACGGGCTCCCGGAGTGAGCCGGGGGTCTACGAGCATATCATATTGTTTTGTAATGTGCTAGAGTTGTTTGTACACTATTTAAAGACAAGATATATTTGTTGATGTTGCCGCACCATGTCGCGTAGAACTAGCTGCGTAGGAACAGTCGTTGCAACATGTACTCTCACGTCAGTGTCTAGGTGTTACAGTAGTTTAGAACTTTGACACGCTCGTCTATTCTCTTCCCGTCTCCAGTAGCGACGATGCGTATTTAACGTTTATGCTCTACTCTAAAATGTACCCAGCTTGATTGTTGTATATTTACAACTTATGTCATATAATCTGGTATTTAGTGATCACTGGTAACACGTAACTTATGAACTCGTAACGATATATATCTATCGATTAAAGTTTGTATGTAAACTTATTGTACTTATAATGGATAAGACCAAAGCAGTTGTCTCGTATATTGTTGCTGTTAGCAATACCTTTGGTCAATTATTAGAACATTTTATTGATGGTGATGATACAATATGAATTCGTTATTAAAAATATTAAATAAAGCTTATCGATATTTTAATCTTGGAATCATCATGCATCCACTTCATCGTTAACTATTGCGATTGCTGGAATCGCTACATTGACACTAGACATCAAGTTGTCGGCGTTACAAATTCACTTATGATAGAGTGGTACCACGAAGTTGTGGTACGGGAGCGAAGTCACGGTGTCTTGAGTGACTCGAGGGAAGCTTCATGCGACGCTAGCGATGCGGCCGACGCGACCGACGCCGTCGCTCAATCGAGTTCCTACATAATGAAGTGTTGGACGTTATGTACTCATTGCTCTATCGATTGAATAGCTGAATTCAAAAATAATCGTTCATTAAACGTTTTGCTCTCTCTTGTTAATAGCGTTAGTACCATCGAAAAAGGTATAGGCAGTGATTGTTGGATTTGATATAGTTTATGAATATTGTTAATCTTATGCTGTATAAATAGACTAATTAAATGCTATATGTGTACTAAAGACGTTTGATTTATTCCAGTAGTTTGGCCCATTGGCTATCTTACTAACAGGTTATGTTATCTACAGGTGTAATATTAGGTAAGCCTGATTTTGAATAATGTTAGAAATATTTCAATAAGAATTGTGTTTGGTAGACTTCATCTTAAATCATTTTTATGTTTGTAGTAATATATTTTCATATTTCTGTGCTATTTTAGAATTGAACGTTTATGTTTTCTTATTGAAATATTTGCTTCGTTCTTGAACCGTGACTGTAGGAATATGCTTGCGTTCAGTTACGTTTCTAGGAATTGGTGCATGTGATTAAAGCGTATGCCTGTACATACAGCGAAGTATGATCGTTGCTCTTTGTTTTTTAAAGTAGCATTGTGACTGAGCTACTCATAAACATACTTTTGTATCCCAATAGGCGTGACTTGTTATTGAATTCCAAAGCTCCTGCGGACGGTGGTTGCATGGCATTGCGTATAATTCCTTAAGGTTCGGATCCGCTTTGTGCTTGTGAATGTGTCTGCGTTAAACTAAAACAATATTCCCCTTTGTACGTCTTCCTTATTTGTCGAACTCTCATTGTACATTCATAGGTATTTAGACATCACTGTAAATAATACGAGCATTGTGTTTGTTTGTGTGTAAGGCGTGTTTTAATATGGGTTTTTATGTTATTAGCCGTCCGGTGCCGAACATGCCGCCCAAGCTGCCGGAGAGACCGCAGAATGGCCGGCCATACTGATCGCCCCACACTTCGCCGCCCTTGTGATACTAAGCAACTATGTAAATATGTTCCCTACTGTGTACCTACTTTGCTTACAATTATTTAATGCTTAGCATTGACTAATGACTATAAGTCGATGAAATTCGTATATTACAATATAATTTTAATGAAACTAGTTCAATTTATTATTTTCTTAATATGAGCCCGTTAACATGCGCTTGCTGATCGAAAATTATTTTATAAAATATGTAAGATGAGGAACTTTGATGAATTTATGTACTAAGTTATTGAGATACTAATTTATGATCGCGTTTATTGGCCATCGGGCCTTATTGTTATGACTTCGAATAACTGTTATTCTAATGTTAACCAAGCAAAGTGATTAGATTGTGTCAGTACGTACTTTTCGTAATAATGTAATTGTATTTTACAGCACTGGCACGCGATCTTTTACATGTATGTACTTATAGTGACACGTTTACATTTACCTCTTGTTCAAATGAAATGATGAAATTCTCGAAAATGTTTTTAATGTCCTCGTATAGGTAGGAGCGATATACGTGTAGCAAGCTGTCGGATTTTCGACTGATATTATAAGTAGGATATTGGCATGTTTGTGATAGAAGAGGCTACTCAATAAAATGGATGCCTTCAGTAGAGATGTACTTCACATTTATCGTGTTATCGTGGCATTTAGTATTAAAGCCTGGCACCTGGCCGATGGGGCATTTATGCATCGACTTCAAAGTGATTCTAATGTACAGACGAAGCATTTATAAAGTAATCCGATGTATGCCTGCGCACCTAACACTAGTCAACCCGTAATTTTATTGAAAATCATTTTTTTATACCCAGCTTTAGATTTTTCTAAGTAAATACTTTAGTTTTCATACATTCCTTTTCGCCTCATGGTCTCGGGCCAGGTCGTAAATGTATATAAATGTATAAATATTATAATAGACCTGTTTATACTGTGTACTGTTGTATGCAACTGTAATAAATGTGTAAATAAAAACATAAATTGTGTTTTCTTTCATAAAGTACCCAAGTATACAATTGTAGTCGATAAAGATTTCCCTATTCGGATTTGGGAGTTTCGTGAAAGGGTTTTATGATCAGATTGGATGCTGTTATCGCAATAAATGTAATTTATAGTAACATTAGACTATTCTGTTGTTGAAGTTAATATCATAATCAACTTGATTTGGCATTTGATTGTATTGCCAATGATATTAAAGTATAAATTATTTATATTAATGGACATTTACAAGTATTTTACTAACAATAGCTTAACTAGAAATAATAAAATGCATTGGGAAGTAATCTATTATCCATGAGCATGATATCTACCCAGTAGTTTAATGATCTGCCCAGTTCCTACGTCCAGAGATAATGACCTTTCATTGCCATATACACATAAAAAAGCACATACGCTGATGTTTATCTTCTCTTCTATTATAAACGTTGCCCCACATTAGGATTTTCTCCTGTGTTGTGGATGCGTTTACAAAAATACAAGTTCACATACACAATGACACCCAGACCCGAAACAACAATTTGTGGATCACACAAAGTGCTGTTCCGTGCGGGAATCGAACCCGCGACACGTTGCGTGGCAGCCGGTTGCTCAGCCACCGCACCAACCGTGCAGTCAGTACTGTGTTTGGCAGTAGACAGTGATAAGACTGCAGAATTGCTCACCAAGCGAACAGGATGATATCGTCATCTCATGAGTGGATGACGTGGATTTATACTTCTCATAATACAATTGGCGAATAGTTGTTCATCAAGGGCATTGGGAAAGCACAATATGTATAGGTACCTACTACTCAGTGGTGTAACTATACTATACTAGGTACTCGGGGTACTCTAGGTACTCCTGTGATTTCGTCACAGACCCCGTTCCCTATAAAAAAGAAAAGTTCAGACGAAAACCTTTAGAATGGGTCCCCTTCTAGCTAGGAGCCTGGGGGATTTTGCCGTCTTACCACCTTGTAGTTACGCCACTGCTACTATGTACTTATAATAGACGTGTAAGAACCTCCTACATCTACCAAGAAGGACACCATTGCATCCCACGACTGCAGTGCCGACCTTTTTCTTGACAACAGTCGACTGTGACAGACCGTCTCTACTCTCTAATATGAGGCGATGCACTACACCAGCGTGTGCCTCGCCATGCAGTAGAGTTAGTGGATATTTTTTTTAAGGGGGAAATATCATCGAATGACTTCTCCCGCCTCATCCAGGCCGGAGGGACTGTCAGACTATTACTGACTCAAAACGACCCCGTTCCTACTCCTGCCCTTCAAGCTGGAGCCCCGGCAACCCGTTAAGTTTGCCGCGGCAGAGTTAGATGACGTAGGTACCTCTACTTGACCTAAGGTAATTATGTAGAATATAATCAGTTCTTGAATCTGTGAACTACTTTTATATTGTTGTCACCCTTGAGTGTTCTCGATAATTGTGAAATCGCATGTCTACTAGCACATTTAACTACGTGAAAACGTTTCCGAAAACAAGCTAGTTCTTCTACATAAATTAGGTAACTTTGAAAAACTTAGTGTTGATGAAAATCTTGATTTAGGCGCTAATGTGACTCCGATAAACATCAGTCGTTTTTGCACGTCAAGACGTTTTTAGATTTCTTGAGTGTTTATGAAATTAAGGAATATTTTTTGTACTACGGTTGGCTTGCGGTATTGTAGCAGCGAGTGGTCGGTAGGTAGAGATCATTAGCTGCATTAAGTTGACCACGCCCAGTATACACCGCAAAGACAAAAACAGTGTCCATTATTACAATTTAATGAAGAGAGAAAGCCATTAGGAACGGGGACTTGATTAAATCGTCGGTGAGCAATTGTCGGGTTTGTGGCGGCGCGGCGCCCTCTGTCGCGGCCCGCGGGGGCCTAATCGCACCGACACGATTCTGATTACGTGTGATTGTTGTATCAATCATTTTCCCTATCAAATTATTCAGTGGCTGGTAATTGTATCGGCGTCGTCTCGTAATGGCCGCGGACTCGAGCCCGGCGGAAATATTCGGCTGCACTTAGTCTCGGTTTGTTACCCGAACGATTGTAATTCATATGCTATTACTAACGAAAATTAGAGAGAAAATTGTCGTCGTCAGTCGTTTGTTGATGATTGCCGTACCTATCATCAGATCTACGAAGTACATTGAAAAGCCTTGTTATAGGCGTTATAATGGCTTTGATTTTGTGTCGATTTCTTTCAAGTTATTGAGAGTCATCTTTAGTTAGTAGTTATGTAGTTCCGGGTAGTTGTAAATTATATATCTACAAGTGGATTGTTAGGGAGCTAGTTGGTACCTACCTTCTATCGTAATGAATTAAAGTTAGAGAAAGTCTTAACATTAAACTTACATGTTAAACTTGTATTAATTATCAGGAAAATAACAAATTGCCTTGTTATGTCTAATAAATGTTGTAGTTACCCACTTAATACCTATGAAGTGCCGAATATAAATCATTGAACAGCATATTTCCCTTATCGCCGGCGTGCGTGTAGCTAACCAGCCGATTAGCTATGCAAATCCGTGGAATTTACTACGAGTGCTAAACGGTGCTATACCGACGGCGCTTTGCATACCATAACGAACTGTATCGTACCTATTTACAAGTTAATTTTCTTTAGTATTTTACAAGCTTAGTGGGTATTTTTTTGTAATGTGTACGAACTTACACGAACCGTTGTAATAGAGGCCCTGCATCCTATCTTTTGGAAATTCCTATTTACTTAAGGCAATATACATATTATATTCTACTTAAACTGTCAAACACCAAGCGGTCACCGGTGACCGCAACCTATTGTTCTATAATTGTGTCTACAAAACCGGTACTCGACGAGTTAAGTATAATAATAAAGCCCTTTATTCTGAATTTTTACATTACGAGTTGTTACAAAAAGGTTATAGTATATCTCTTAATTCAGTGTGCCTTTTGGCAAAGGCCTCCTCTAGCTGTCTCCATTGAATTCTGTCGCGGGCCACTCTTCTCCAGTTGGGTCCCGCTGTTAGCCTTAGTTCATCCTCCCATCTTTTTAACTGCTTTCCTCTGCTGCGTTTACCGTCTCTCGGATACCAATCAGTTACTATCTTGCACCATTTTTCCTTGTTTTCTCTCATCATATGACCGGTCCAACGCCATTTTTGTTGGTCAATTCTTTTTAAGATGTCTATAACCTTTGTTTTTGCTCTTAGTTGGTCGTTACTTACATGGTCCACCCTATGTCTTCTTTATTCTACTTAAGTATTATATAGCAAATATTCCATGTATTAAAAAGCTTTTATAAAATCGTTATCTAAAAATAACTAGGTCAAGAAAACCTTAAGTACTTTCGTAGGTAGATAATGGTACGTTTAAAAATGCCTAATTAACACAAATCAGTTCATTTCTGTAGTAAGTATTTCTGAGTAAATCACTCCCCTACATTGTAAAAACGTCTGATAATTAGTAGATAACAATCCTTAATTAGTTACTAGTGGCAGTGACAGTTACATGGGTCTCAAATTAGCGGCAGTAAGAATCGGTAGAGATATAATTAAACAGTTGTCTAATTTAATTGGCAATAGGCGCGTTCCCACAAGTCAGAAAGTCACCCTCGCTCATTACAATCGTTCCGAATTTTCCCAACAATTAACATGCGAGGTAGTGTATGTAGTAATTACAGGTGTGGCGCAGTAAACGGCGCGGCTCAATCACGCTACAGGCCCGCTGCGCTCGCTCCACTATGTTGCATTGTGTGTATCACGAATGATGATAAATGTCACGCTTAATATATCTGTAAGTGATCTACTTCGAACATTACCTACATTGTTTGTTTAAGAATTGGTACGGACCACGCGAGTTTGTTTTGACCTACTCTGTGGGTACCTCTACAACACAAATTGCGCTCATTTTAAATTTGTTCGTATAAAATACACAT